GAACATTTTTATGGTCACCCAATAGACTTTTCCATCTGTATCAACTATGCGATAATCCCAACGTGGGACACCTATCGCCTGAAAATAGGGTACATGCGACTATTCCTGCAGTCACACACCGTCAAGTGCTGGGCTCTGCACTGGCCATAGCTGGGTGACTCTGCACTGGCCATAGCTGGGTGAAGGCTTAGGTCATGTATCACTCTGGGCTGTGTCTTGGCTACTGTCAGTGGTATCAGCTGTTATTCTCAAGATGGCTAATTCGGGGCATTAGGGCTTAAAGACTAGCTTCACCTGACTGGTCAAATAGGCTTTGCCAGTCCGGAAAAGCCAGAAAATAGAGCAAAAGTCAAGAAGCATAAACCCTTAGTCCAAGGGGCCAGAGGCATGTCTGAGATAGCTGTAGGGCCTTATCAAGGACTGAAGTGGAATTATTAATGCGACAGACTTTTCTAGAGCTTGCAAGTTTTCCTGAGCACCCCAGTTAAAGAATTCTAAAACCCCTTTTTAATAAAGCCCATTTCTAGCCTTCCTGACTGGCACGACCAGATTTAAGGAGCCCTGCATCTCTTGCCAGGGAGCTTTCTACAATTGAAAGAGGAGACTAGCAGAAAATCCAAAAGTCCATGGATCCCTGACTGGGACTGACTGTCACCTCCTTGCTGCCCAGTCCTAGAGGTCCTGACAGTCTACACTGGAGACATGGAAAGAGCCACAGGGTAAACCTGGAGAATTTTCCTGAAGCATTAACTTTGTTTGATGGTAAATAACCAAGAACACTTTTAGGCTTAAACAATATATTGTGGCGTATAATACAACATTTGCTTGACGTTGAACAATTAACACAAGCCTTTTTGCTGGGTTATGTTGGGCACTCAGATGGACTCTCCTCTGTGCCAGCAGGTGCTCCAGTGGGAAGGTTTTAAAAGAGTAAGTAGGTGATGGTGCTTACCTTTCTCTCCCTAGCACTTCCCTAAACAATGCAGGACAGAACAAGGAAAAAAGCAAAAAAAAAAGCCCCTCAAGATCTCATCCTCTGAAGAACACCACACGTGACATTTTGGTGAACATCTTTCAGGATACCCCCCAATGCATACATACAGTGGTGATGTGTGGGTTCCCTTTTACATAAAGAGGATCATACTTGGATGCTTTATAATACAAAGGAAACTTCTAAACTTTTCAGATCAGCTTAAATTGGCCCCAATAAATTGAGATTTTCAGATGTCCACTCATAGCAAACAAGCTCATATACCAATGTGAATAGACAAAGCCTTTTGCATCTAAGAGGAAACAAATATTCTCTCTCTCTTTCTTTCTTTTTTTTTTTTTGAGATAAGGTCTTGGGTCTTGCTCTGTCACCCAGGCTGGAGTACAGTACGGCGGTATGATCATACGGTCACATAACTCACTGCACCCTTGAAGTCCTGGGTGCAAGTGAGCCTCACACCTCAGCCTCCTGAGTAGCTGGCCTACAGGCCTATTCCTGGCGAACGTGGCGTCGCCATACTTGGCTTTTTTTGCTTTCTTTTTCTTTTCTTTCTCTCTTTCTTTTTCTTTTTCTTTCAGAAACAGGGTCTTGTTATGTTACCCAGGCTGGTCACAGACTTGTGGCCTCTAGCAATCCTCCCTCCTTGACCTCCCAAAGTACTGGGATTACAGCGATGAGCCACTGCACCCAGCCTCTCTCTCTTTCTTTCTTTTTAAAAACACAAACAAGAAATAGGACTTGTAGGTGCTCAATAAGTGATGTCTGGATGCATTCCAAGGCTGGAAGTTAAGAGGCCATCGTCCTCGAGGTCAGAAGGTACCGGTAGAAAGGAAACGACTTTCAAGTCTTTTTGGTCGTGAGGGCTGAACCTACCAGAGCGTCTCTTCCCAGCATCTTGGTGATTTCACCATTGCTTACCATCTCCCCTGAACTTCAAGGGTGGGATGAGACCCTGGATGAAGAACCTAGAGAGCTGAGCCCACCCTGTGAGCCCAGATGAGTGGAGCAGGGCAGGGAGGCAGAATAGGCACCCATGGAGGTCCTGGGTACAGCTGCTGCCCAAAGGGCCTGGAAAACCAGCCTCAGACACACCCGCCCAGCCCGAAGGTGTGGGCTTCTTTAAGCAAAAGCTTTGTTCTGAGAGTGACTGTACAAGGTAGCTCAGTAAACAGTGGCAGAACTTGAGATGGGGATTACAGCCCCAAACCTCTCTCCTCTGTGAGCACTGCTGGAGGAGACAAGTCTAGGCCTGCTCTCTGCCTGGATTTTCAGTGCCTACCAGAGCTCACTCTCTCTCTGTTTCTCGCTCTCTCTCTCTCACACACACATGCGCACACACGCACACACGCACACACACGCGCACACACACACATGCACACACACACGCACACACACACACACGCACACACACGCGCGCACACACATGCACACACACGCACGCACACACATGCATACACACATGCACACACGCGCACACACACATGCACACACACGCATACACACACGCGCACACACACGCACACACACGCGTGCACACACACATACACACACACGCGCACACGCACACACACGCATGCACACGCATGCATACACACATGCACACACACGCACACACACGCACACACATGCCTATACACATGCACACACATGCGCACACACATGCACACACATGCACACATGCATACACACATGCACACACATGCACACACATGCACACACATGCGCGCACACACATGCGCACACACATGCACACACATGCATACACACATGCACACACATGCATGCACACACATGCATACACACATGCACACACACATGCATACACACATGCGCGCACACACACATGCACACACACACACCGCTTCTACTACCCTGAGTATATTCTGAGTGCCTAGGAATTAGGAAGCACACATCAGATGAAGTCACTGGCTTTGAACCAACTGGGATAGGGTCATAGCTCTTACATCTCTGAGCTGTAAGACCTTGGTCACCTTACTCAACTCGTCTGTAGAATGGAGAAACCAGCTCCCCAGGCAGGGAAGACTGGATGACACTAATGTTTGGCAAGGGCCTTGAAGAGCGCGTGGATAAGAATGACTGCTCCACAGAGAGCAGCTGCTGGGAAAAGCCACTTACGGGCTCACCTTATCAAGCTCCAGGCTTCTTGAGCCGAGAGCTTAGTTGCTGTTAGGTGTCCAAACATACTTGTTTTTTTGAGACAGTCCCACTCTGCCGCCCAGGCTGGAATGCAGTGGGACGATCCCAGGTCGCTGCAACCTCTGCTCCAGGGTTCATGTTCCCACCTCAGCCTCCCGAGTAGCTGAGACTACAGATGCGTGCCACCACGCTCAGTTAATTTTTGTATTATTAGCAGAGACGGGGTTTCACCATGTTAGCCAGGCTGGTCTCAAACTCCTGACCTCAAGTGATCCGCTTGCCTCGGCCTCCCAAAGTGCCGGGATTACAGGCATGAGCCACCATACCCAGCCAGATATAATTTCTTTACCAACGGAAGAAGATTTACTCCCAGCTGGCTCACGTTGAGTATAGACACGCACGTTCACACGCCTGCATGCACATCGTTTGAAGGGCTGCTAGATCAGCACCCCACCCACGGCAACGGTGAGTGGGTGACAGTGATCAATCCGGACACTTCAGGCCCTGCTGCACTTGCTCCCCAAAGCCCTCCTCCTGGGGTCTGGCCACTCCCACAGCTACACGGCTGCCCTCTCCCTCTTTGGTTCCCTACGTTGGTCTTGGCTCCCCACTAGTCTCTGAATTCAAGCACCTAGGATCCGTGCTTGTATATCGCTGCTGGACTCCGGCACTGCACACTGGTGAGGGGCAGTAGAGCTTACTGGCTGAGAACATAGGATTTATATTCAGACAGCAGTGGGCTTAAATTCCAGCTCTGCTGTGAACCACAGGTAAAACTGGGTGCAAGTTCTTCTAGCCTTTGCACATCTCAATGTCCTGAGCGCTAAAATGGGGATCACAGCAGCACTTGAAGGTTCTTTTTTCCCCTCTTTTCTTCCATGCCCTGAGGGTTGGGCGAAAAGCATTCTTAATAACAATTCAAACTAGTAATATTTGTAAAGCGTGCGGTAGATACCTAATAAATATTAGCTATTGTTAATTTTTTAAATAGTTTTAGTATTAATAGGTTTTAAAAAATAATTTAGTGCTAAAAATAAAACGTGACAGGCCAGGTGACTCTGGACTGACAGAGAGAAAGCCGCAGCCTGCTATCCTTTGCGCCAGCCAAGGGTCCACCGCAAGCTCATTCTCATCCTTCAGGCGGGTTCAGAGAGAGAAGACGGAAGTGCCGTTCGCTCTGGTCAAGAAGGAAGGACGAGTCCCCGGTGACTCACCGGGACTTACTGGCTTGCTCAAGGCTCCTATTACCATCTTGTGGCAAGTTCTGCTTTCCAAGACCATCTCCTGAATACCGCTTATGATGAGTTTTGGGAAAAGGCATTCATTCATACAAGGTAACTAGAATTACTGTTATGCAAAGTAGGAAACCCACAGGGGAGTTTAGAGTCCTTTTGGACAGTCTCTTTCTTTTAAAAAATAATGTCTCTTAATTCTTATTTATTTGGTATCTTTTCTTCTTTTCTCCACTGTTTCTAGAAAAAACAAAACACGTGGCCAGCACACGGTGGCTCACACCTGAAATCCCAGCACACTGGGAAGCCGGGCTAGGTGGATGGATTGAGCCCAGGAATTTGAGACCAGCCTGGGCAACATGCCAAAACCCCACCTCTACAAAAACTACAATACATTAGCTGGGCGTGGTGGCACGTGCTTGTAATCCCAGTTACCCGGGAGGCTGAGGTGGGAGGATCCCCTGAGATCGGGAGGTTGAGGCTGCAGTGAGCTGTGATCATGCTACCGCATGCCAGCCTGGGCGACAGAGTGAGACCCTGCCTTGAGAAAAAAAAGAACAGAAATGCAGCCTCCACTGTGTTAGGTCATGTAACTGTTTCCACCTCCTTGTGTTTCCCATCCCACTCAGGACATCCTTACCACCGTCCTTACGGCAGCCCACAGAGCTGGCGGGCCCGGCCCCTCTACCCTTGGCTGACCTGCTCCCACCTAGTCTGCTCGGTAGCTCCTTCCAGCCTCGCTGACCTGCCCGTTGTCCCTGGAATGCATTGAGCGAACACTCCTAGAGGGCCTTTGCACTACTGTCCCTGCCTGGAATGTTCTTTCCTCATGCGTCCCCATCCTCACTTCCCCACGTCTCTCAGGTTTCTGTTGAGAGGTCATCTTATCCAAGGGGACTTTCTTGACAGCCCTGCCCAGCACCAGCCACCCCGTCACTCAGTCTCCTTACCCCATTCAGCCTTCCTGCATAGCACTTCTACATCCTAAAGTGTGTGTGTGTGTCTGATTGCCAAACTTCTCCTGCTAAGATGGAAGTTCCTTGAGAGCAGAGATTGTACCGGGCTCACTGCATCGGAGCCAGCACCCAGCACCGTCCTGACAGTCAGTGGGCACTTAGTGAATGCTGAATGAATGGATGTTGAGTGGATGACAACCTGACTCTCCAGACTGCGTGTGAGCACAGAGGACGGACCATTTTCCAAATGCACTTCACTCTGAGAGGCCTCAGATGCTCTGTCATCAGCGCTGACTCCCTCCATGGACGAGAAGACCCCAGGTAGGTAGTCAGCTTCCTTCACCATGACCTTGGCTTCCATGACTGTTTTCAGTAATAGGCCTGAAACAAAGCATAGGCCCCAGACGAGGCGATGAGTTCCCAAAAGAAGGCCTCGCATATCCCATCTGTTCAGTACATGTTTGAAAAAAAGTACTAAAGGAAAAAGGGAAGGAGATGGCTAGGGAAAACAGACCTTATAAGACATGTGCTAGTTCAGCTTTCTTTGCCAGGGAGTTGGGACAGAGGCTTTGTCAGAGTCAAGGGAAATACTTTTGATGACCTCCTACCTCCCTTCCCTTCTCCTCGGTGTTTTATGTGATATTAGGAAATCAGAGAGGGCTTTATTCTCTATTAATCAGAGTATATCTTCAGATCAAGAAGATGTTCAATGCCCTTCTCACTATTTAATCACAAACTTCCACTGAGATAAAAAGATGAAACTTACTTCTTAGAGAGATGGATTTTTAATAGTGCTTTTCTAAAACAGGAAGTGCTCTTTGTGAGAAAAGGAACAGTTAAGTAATGCAGAAGAGAACAAGGAAGAAAGAAAATGATCAGTCAAGATCTTATCCCCGAAGCAGCTGCAGATAGCATTTTGGTGAACGTTTTTCAGGATACCTCTCAATGCATACATGCAATGTAGATGTGTGGATTCCCGTTCACCTACATGGGGTAATAGCACACATTTTACATCAACTGCTTTCTTTGCTTGATACTATATTATGGCAACATCTTTCTATGTCAAAATATGTAAATCTCTAACTCATTTTTTTCTTTTCTTTTTTCTCTGTAACACATTTAATAGCCTTTTATATTATTATTATTATTATTTTAAATAGAGACAGGGTTTTGCCATGTTGGCCAGGCTGGTCTCAAACTCTTGATCTCAGGTGACCCATTAGCCTTGGCCTCCCAAAGTGCTGAGATTACGGGCGTGAGTCACTGTGCCCAGCCCATTTTTAATAGCCTTTGATGGAACAGTAGTATTGCATTGTATGTGTGATCGAGTCAGTTTCCAATTGATAGATATTTAGGTTGTTTCCAACTTCTTGCTGTTAGATAAGGTTGGATGAGGAGCTCCATGGGTGTGGATTAGGAGGCTCTTGTCTCAGCTAAATCTTCAGTCATCTCTGGCAACACTCACTCAGGAAATCCCAAACCACTGGTGGCCAATGGCCCTCATCTCCATGCCCAGCCAGAAAACACTACCTCAAAGGCCCCCAGTTCTTGGTGTCAATCAAATTGTTTCCATTCATGTGTGGGGAGGCAGCTTGCTTACTTATTTTTGTTTTCCTAAAAAAATTCAGCAATGCTTTTATATTGTACTTGGCATCAATGGCTTGCGCCCCTCTAGAATCCATCCCTTCATTTTCTGATGAGAGCAACTCCTGAGGAATTACCCCTCTCCTGCTGCATAGAGCTCTGGTGAACCTGGAGGTGGAGGTGGGTGGGCGCTTTTAAAACCCCATGTGGTTCCTTGAGAACAGCCGGCTCCGGCTCCATTCCTTCCCTCGCCCCCCGCCCCCCGCCTCCCGCCCCCCGCAGCCTCCAGGTCACAGGTTTGGAAGCTATGGGGGCTGGCATGAAAGCAGCTCATAAGACTGAGCAGTATTCAACAGAGAGGCACCAGGAGACCTGGAGAAGTGGGTGTGCGTTATCTTGGGGGCCTTAAATCTTCCCTTTCCTTTGCTTTGGGGCACAAGAGAAACAGGCGCAAAATAACAAACTTCAGTGCTGTGTGGTTTTCTTCTTTAAAATTCTTCCCTTTTTGTTCCATCTTTGAACTTGTCAGGGAGGCTTCTCTTGGCCAAACCCACTGCGCTGGGTCAGAGCGTGCCTCACTATTATTAAGCTGTTGGACAGCTGAGGACGCTGAAGCACCCAGAAGCTGCGTGACCCGCCCAGGATCAGGTGGCAGCAGCAAGCATCCTGGGACTCGCACTCTAACGGCAGGCACTGCGCTTGGCACTGCGCTTGGCTCGGGGAGAGCTGTTCTGGGGCACGCGGCAGCAGCCAGGAAGCCCAGCTCCTGTTACAGGATGAGGTCTCAAGCTGGGGGCTGCTCCTCTTTCTCTGAGTTCAGTGTCAAAACAGCCACCAAAAGAGGTGTGGAAGTTGCTTTGGTGGGTGTCTGGTCACAGAGGCTGGAGGTTGGTGGCAACATTTTAACTTTTTTTTTTTTTTTTTTTTGAGACAGATTCTCCCTCTGTCACCCAGGCTGGAGTACAGTGGCATGATCTCAGCTCATTGCAACCTCCACCTCCCTGGCTCAAGTAATTCCCTGCCTCAGCCTCCTGAGTAGCTGGGATTACAGATGCATGACACCACACCCAGCTAATTGTTTTTTTTTTTTTTTTTTTTGCATTTTTAGTAGAGACAGGGTTTCACCATGTTGGTCAGGCTGGTCCTGAACTCTTGACCTTGTGATCTGCCTGCCTCGGCCTCCCTAAGTGCTGGGATTACAGGCGTGAGCCACCACATCCTGCCAAGCAATGGTGGCAGCATTTTCATTACATCTGACACCATCGTGCGGTGATTCGGAGGTCCCAGGGTAGGGAACTGAATAGTTCACTGTGGCCTTCCACTGACAACACCATGTACCGAAGGGTATCAGTGGTTCAGCCTCGATTATAGGCACAGAGGGGGCGGCCGCAGGAAGAAAACGCACCCTATTGAGGGTCTACTCTGAGCCAGGCTTCGTTTGGGGCACCTTCCCATAGACAGTTTCATGGGCTCCTCATGTCAGCGCTGAGAGCTCAGTCAACAATCTCAACCTCTCTCCTCCCCCTTTGGGTTGAGAAAATAAGATCGTCAGAGCTGCTTAGCAGAAAGTAGCCATTATAAGATGGAGACAGAATTTTATCTCATTTATGCCTTGGTTCCAAAGTTAAGCTTTTCCCCGTTGCTATCCCAGCCATCAGTAGTGCCTTGGGACAGGCAGAGTTTTGCCTCGAATCCCTCTGGAGTGAGAAGGGAAAAGCACTGCCAAGCCTCAGAGACCCCTGGCCCCCACTGGCTTCCGCTCCCATCTGACACGTCATCTGAGCGGAACAATGTCAAAAGTTGGTGTTTTCTCTGAGACTCTCTGTGAGTCTCCCTCCAGACTGCGGTTGGCTCAAGGGCACCATTTTGGCTGCAATCCCACAGAGTTTCATTTTCACGTTTTTATTGAAAAATCGAAATCTGGGGAATTAGAGCCTTTCCATATTGATTTTCCAGGGGCAAGTGAAAATTACATTCTGTACAGGACCAAGAAAGTGCCACCTTCCGTGGTAACAGGGCTGACAGTGGAGATGACGTGCCGGAGGAGGGACGATGGGGCCACAGATGTAGTTTCTGTGGCATTTTCCAAAGTGAAAAGGTAAAAAAACCAATTTGGGTTCATAGAAAATGACTTCCGGAATTAGAATTTTATTTATTTGTCTGTTTATTTTTATTTATTTATTTATTTGTTTTGTTTGAGACAGGGTCTCGCTCCCGTCACCCAGGCTGGAGTGCAGTGGCGCTGTCTCAGCTCACTGCAGCCTCCACCTCCTGGGCTCAGGTGATCCCACCACCTCAGCTTCCTGAGCGGGGGGACTACAGGCGTGCGCCACCATGCCCGCTAACTTTTTATTTTGTTAGTAGAGATGGGGTTCCACAATGTGTTTAGTTGAAGGGAAAGCAGAGGAGAGGTGAGAACTTTGGAAGACATGAATCCGAGGTTTCTCCTTTGAGCATGTTGAGGTGGCGTGTCAATCTGCACTTGGTCCCTCCCCCGCCGACGTCACTCAAGCCTAGTGTTTTAGGACTATGGGGAGACCCAGCCAGACTTCTGGCTTATTCACTCACTTCTGGGTCCAGACCTCTGATCTGGTCTCAGATCTTTCTCTAACACCTTACTGTCTAGACAAACTTTCACAGGCTCCCTAAAGTCCACTGACTTTCCTGAACCTTGCTTTCTTTCCCTTGTAAATTGGGAGTCATAATAGAAGCCACTGCAGAAGGCTGTAGTGAGGATTGACTGAATAAACATGAGTTGATTGATCGGATGAAGAAACAAGATAACCCGTGTACAGCACTAGGGTTTGATAGACAGGTGTCTGTTTTGTGTAATGACAATCTCTTATGTCCAGGCTAGGCCCAAACTCCAAGACATTTGAGGCCTCACGGAGCTTGTGGCATTCAGGTCAGATGGATATATGGGAGATCTGCTTTTCCACATTGGACTTGATTTCCTCTTTTCTCCTCCATCATGGGAAATGCCTCCTACTGGTAGTGGGGAAACCTGTTATCCCCCCACAAAGCCGCCTTCTGGGGAAAGACATTCTGTGAGTTGATATCTGGAAACAACTGCTTCTTTCCTTCTTCCCCTTCCCACCCTCTTTAGCACCTGTAAAATGTCCTATTTTTTCCCTTTCCCATATGCAGGCAAATTGTTAACATCAACCAAAGCCCTAAAAGTGATTCTGGCAGCAAATGAGCATGTGTCTGCGAAGCAGGTGAAGGGCCCGGGACTCTGGGCTGGACACATTGGCGGCTGCAGGCCTGAGAAGACCCCACCGGGCGGGAGGTGCTGAGCCCTATTGCAGGATGCCCCGGCTGTCCCCCAGGGACCCCCGCTTTGAAGGTAACCCACCAACCCGGGATCCACGAACGTTTCAGCCAGATGTGCAGCCCTCCGAGCAAGTCGTTAAACAAGCGCTTTGAGGGTGAAGCGCCCTCGGGGCAGGCTAAGTAGCTTTATTATCTCGTGGAGCGAGTGTCACTCTGGGGAGGAACCAACTCCCAGCTCTGTCACTGTTTGGGAGTTAGTGAGAAGCAAACTCAGCCGGAAACGCTGAGTGCCAAAAAAGGGGAGCGAATAAAATGCCCGGGGTGGGAGGAAGGGGACGGGTGGGCGCCTGGGCTTTGAAATCCTGCCACGGAAACTTCTCTCCCATGGATCCCCTTCCAACCTGCCCCGACTGCAGCAACTGGACGTGGCATGTGACAGGCGCTGCAGACGGATCGCGTTTCACACATGCAGCTGTAGGATCTGGCACACAGGTGTTTGCTTCTGTGTTTGCCAGCTGCTCTGCAGCGCCGGCTACAATGGAATGGGGGTCGGGGGGAGGGGAACCGTCACACTTGTGGCTGCCAGAAGGGAGGAGGGAGCTGGAGATTCCTGCCTCTGGCCAAGAGCTCAGCATTTGATTCAGGGCTGGGGCGGGCCCGATGCCTGCTTTAGAGGGTCCTGAGGCCTCTTCTCATGGGCTCACCCAGGACCCAGCTGTGGCTGGGTGGGACAGTGGGCAGGGTGGCTGGGAGACCTCCAAGCAAGCTGGCCAGGGCCCCAGGAAGCCCGGTCGGGAGGCAGAGCGCCTGGGGATAGGAGGCCACTGGGTTCTTGAGTCAGGTTGCCACTTCACCTCTGAAAACGGTGAACCGTCAGCCAGCTTTCTTCCCCTCTCTGGTCTTAGTTTCCTGATCTGTGAAGTGGAGTCGGGAACCCCTGATCCACAGGCCCTCCTCTGTGAGGACTCCATGAAGCACTCAGGGAAGCAGTGTTCTTTTGTCATTTCCACCTGGGGAAGGTGGGGCCAGGAGGGACCCACCAGGCTCCTGGACCACATCCCTGGGCCCTGTATGCAAGGCTGCCCCGGCTGTTCTGGGTCTCAGGCTCAGATATCACCAGCGCCGAGACACAGATCACTGGTTTCCTGCTCCTTTCCATCCTCAGGAGGAAGAGGACTGGCCGTTCAGGACACCGAAGTCACCCGAAGAAAGGTGGAAGCAGGGGAGCCTGGGATTGGACGCCCGACCTGTGCCTGCTGGAGGCCCCTCTCCTTTCTGCAGCGTCTCTGCAGCTGGGACTGTGATATGGAGGGCTTTCTCCTGCCGTGGACTCTCTGGAGGCCATGGACTGTCTGCTCTGCCCATCACTCTGTCCCCAGTGCGGTGTCTGCATGAAGTGAAGACTTGATAAGTGTCTGCTAAGGGAGCGAAGGAGTGAGTGGGTGCATGAGTGGGACAGTTTTCTCACTGTCTCAGCTGCTCCCAGCCCTATTTTAAGGACAGGGAATAGGCATGTTTAAAGGACAGATGTGTGTCTAATAATCCCAGCATGTTGGGAGGCTGAGGCAGGAGGATTGCTTGAGGCCAGCAGTTTGAGAGCAGCCTGGGCAACGTAGCGAGACCCCCATCTCTGCCAAAAACAAACAAAATTAGTCCAGCATAATGGAGTGCACCTGTAATCCCAGCTAGTGGGGAGGCTGGGGGAGGAGGATCCCTTGAGCCCAGGAGTTCAGGGCTGTTGTGAGCTATGATCATGTCACTGCACTCTAGCCTGGGCAACAGAGAAAAGACCTCATCTCTTAAAAAGAAAAAAGATGGATGCATGATCACACATGACATGTTCAGTTCCGTGTCACATGTCACTCCCCAGCCTCAGACCTATCCCTTGCAGCCTCTCCCACACTTCTTCTAGCTCCCTTGTCCTGCTTGGCTCCATGCCAATGTGCCCACACCCCGCCTTCTCTTCCCACCTCCCCTCTCCTGCCCCATGCCCCTGTCCCTCCTCTCTCCTGAGACTGGGAGTTGGGCCTGCCCAGGTCACAGCAAGGCTTGTAGGAAGAAGAGTATCATGGGGATCCCAGAGGGCTGAGGCCCGGCTCTGCTTCGGACACAGAGACTAATGGTTGTCTTTCTGGGTTTGCAAACTTTGTGGAATGAGCATCCTCTGCTCTATAGCCCTCTTGTGCATAGTTCAAAAGACACTGCCACCGTCTCGTCACTTTCTTTTCTTTTTCTTTGAGATGGAGTCTCACTCTGTCGCCAGGCTGGTATGCAGTGGTGGGATCTCTGCTTACTGCAACCTCCACTTCCCGGGTTCAAGCAATTCTTCTGCCTCAGCCTCCCAAGTAGCTGGGATTACAGGCGATCGCCACCACGCCTAGCTAATTTTGGTATTTTTAGTAGAGACAATGTTTCACCATCTTGGCCAGGATGGTCTCGATCTCTTGCCTCGTGATCCACCCACGTTGGCCTCCCAAACGGCTGGGATTACAGGCGTCAGCCACTGCTCCCGGCCAACAATACCACAGCCTCGTCTCTTTCAAGGAGTGTGTTCCCCACTAACGGGGCTGGACAGGTGAGGGTGTCTTTCCGACTGCTAGGCCTGGTTCGTGCGTGACCTAAACATGCTAAGCTAGATGTCTGGTACATGCTAATCTAGATATGTTGTACATGCTAATCTGGATGTCTCTCCCAGAAGGGCCGCCTCTCTAGCTAAAACCCTCTCAACTACCCTTCTACACGTATTGCCAGTGTGCAGTTTATTTTCCCTTCTGGACCTTCCAAGGAAACTGATGTTTATTTAGCACCTGCTATGTGCCAGACACTGTGCTCAGCACCTTATACCAGCAAGTCATTGAAGTGGGCGCTGTTACTCTTCCCCACTTCACAGATAAGAACACTGAGGACCAGAGATAGGAAAACTCTCCCAGCATCATAGAGGTGGTACAGGGCAGAACTGGGATTTGAAGCCTGGTCTGTAGGAATCCTAAGCCTTTTCTCTTACTGTGCCATTCAGAATGGGGATGAGTAAATAGCCACAGGCTCAGGGCCTTCATCCTTTCTCTCCAGGTAACAGTGTCCTCTTGGGCCAGAATGCCATTTGTTTGTTCAGTCGTTCATCCAACAAGTAGGTACTGGGTACCTTCTGTGTAACAGGCCCTGTTCTAGTAGCTGGAGAGACGCTGGATTGACAGGATCTCCCCTTCTAAAAGTTTATAACACAGCACAGAGGCAAAGTTTAAATGGATAAGCACCCAATTTAATTAGTTGGTTTGTTATAATGGTACTAAGTACCATGAAGTACTATATGAAGTACTAAGTACTGTGAAGTACTATAATGGTACTAAGTACTATGCTGTGTTGGGAGAAGCTTGTCTGGGGAAATCAAGGCAGGCTTTCCTGAGGAAGGGACAGTATTTCCACCTTTGCTGTCAACCAGGCTAGTGTCTTAAAGAGTAGTAACTCCAGGGAAGGACAGTGTCCCAGCAGACAGGGGGAGGAGTGCCCACACTGTCCCATTTCAGACAGACTTTGGCTGCTCAGGCATCACCCACGTCTTCATGTTCAGCTCTGAAAGGATTACAAACATGTTTAAAAATACTCAAGGGAGGAGAACCCCGCGTCAGAACAGGACCCGTGATATTTTGGCACTCACTGACCCACGGGCAGACACTGCTTCTGTTTGGGACTGTACTTTTCCTGGTGCCTGAGGGATAGTCCTGGTGACCCTCACTGCGGCCACTTCCCCAGGAATGGAAAATCACTTGCTGAAAACATAAGCAGAGCATATAATAATTGGCAGGACACAGACAGCTGATCACCATTCTCTCTCCTCCTGCCCTTCCTCTGATCCTGTTTAGGAGACCTATTCTCTGTTTTCTACCACATGCCTGCTTTTCTCTTGAAAACATACAGAACAGCTTTTAGAAGCTCTCTACTTAATCCAGGTGGAATCTCCCTGTGGGCACAGATGGCAGCCCAGGCAGGCCTCGGCCAGGAGTCTGCAGAGCCCCTGCGGTGATGAGACAGGCCACAGAGAAGGCAGAGGACAAGCCCAGGTGCCTCCAGCCTCTCCCTCCTTCCCTGAGGACTCTGGTTTCTGATGGGTAGAATGAACCCCTGCGTGGGTCCCTCCTCCATCACCCTAACAAACCTGCAAAGCTTCCTTTCCTGTTGCCTTTGGAAACTTCTTCCAGAGTTGTTCCAGGCAAGCTGGACATCAGATCTCCTTCCAAGATATGAGCTAGCCAGAGGGGCACACGGGATGCTCAGCCCACCCTTCCTACTAACAAGGTGTTTAGGGCACGTGGCTACGTAAAGCGAAACAGTGATATATTTTCCACAAAATTCCAGAAAGGAGCCGTGGCTTCCAATCTTGTCATTACTCAGCCGGGCACGCAGCTGAGCCTGGCACACAGAGGTCGATACGCGCTCTCCCCAGACCACTCTAGGATCTCCAGGGCTCAGGAAAATGAACACCACTCCTTCCCACAGAGCGCTTTACAGAGTCTTGACTTCCAAGCAGCCAATCCTCTGATGAATCACTGTTCAGCCCCTGGAAAGAAACAGAGACCCCGGGTGGGAGGTGGGCTCTCAGCAGCTGGAAGGCCATGCAGTGAGCTCAGCCGACTTAAACTGCCCCACACGATGCTGCCTTACCTGGTTGGAAAACGAACGGTGGATCCACTGGCTTGTTGTGCCCACATGCTGAAAACCAGCCCTTGGAGTCGTTCTGTTTGCCAATGCCTTGACTTGAGTAGGTGTTTTGGCTGTTGAACACAGCCTTAGTCAGAGCACTTTTCTTTTCTTTCTGGCACGGATACTTATCCACTCTTCAACCTTTAGCAATCTGTCTACCCTTGAAGCATCAACATCCATATCTATAAATTGGGGTTTTCTCTGAAGACCAGTGAGTTGGCAGATGTGTTGACTTTCAGATGGAAAGGCGTAAAGACTGCATGTTCCAGCAGTTATTTTATTTTATTTTATTCTTATTTCTTTGTTGCCCATGGTCTGCTCACTTTTCACCCAGCAGTTATGTTGTCACTGACTCCAGTTTCCTTGGGACCATTTCTCCATAACTCAAGGGCTTGCTTTCCTCTTGGTGATTCTGCAGATGGGGGGCAGAGGGGGTGGGGGGGGGGGTCTCATGAAATCTTAAGCTCGGAAAGGTTGGCGGGGGGTTGTCTAACCTATGTCCCTGAATACTCTCAAATTACCCCAAGTTTTTTTTTTTTTTTTTTTTTTTAATTGAAACCGGGTTTTGCTTTGTCACCCAGGCTGGAGTGCAGTGGTGCCATCACGGCTAACTGCAGCCTTGACCTCCTGAGCTCAAGAGAGTCTCCCACCTCAGCCTCACAAATAGCTGGGACTGCAGATATGCGTCACCACCCCCAGCTAATTTTTAAATATTTTTTAAAGATGGGGTCTTGCTATGCTGTCCAGGCTGGTTTGAAACTTCCGGCTCAAGCAGTTCTCCTGCCTTGGCTTCCCAAAGTGTTGGGTTTACAAGTATAAGCCACCACACCAGCTTCATCCCATTTTAGGCAAGCACATAATGTGCATCATCTCAGCCCTTATGGTCTGGAGGTTTGTAAGGAAAATTGCTTTTGGGGGGCACTTAAATCTCCCATTTTCCTGTGTCATCTACAACTTGTCAGTACAGACTGGCCTGTAGTAGCCGGGAAGAGCTGTAGAAGTCTGTTTACAGATCCTTCCTTCTTTTAAAAAGGAAGTGTGTGTGTATATGTTTATATCTCTTTGACTAATTTATGAGTATGGCATTTGATGATCTCAAACCATAATAACCTAATAGCCTTGAACTGACTCAGGAAGCTCTCCAGGCCTGGAGCACTTTTCTGCTCCCATTGAGAAGAGCTCTGTGAAGATTAGATTTTTTTGTTTCACCCAGTCCCTTGAACATGAAGATTTAGAATTTGGAAACTGATCCATCCTTTTCCTGAGAAAAATGGAAGGGACCACTCTATGGGTGCTGTGACAAGGAAAGATGTTAATCGCGTTTAGGGACGAGAAGGCTTTTCTGGAAGCGGGCTTGTGTATCTTGTTTTTTACACGAACTTTGGCGTATGATGCATTTGAGATCAATGGAGAAGTCTACCCTCTTTTTCCTTAAGAAGAGCTGCTGTCTATTGAAATGCAGGTGGAACTGATTTATAATCAACTCCCAGTGATATGTCAGATCTGTGCTACTGTTATTATCAACCCTCTGAGAGACGCCACAGATCCCAGGAGGTTCCTTTAGTTCAAGGAAAATTGAGCCCGTCTTTTTTTTTTTTTTGAGATGGAGTTTTGTTCTTGTTGCCCAGGCTGGAGTGCAATAGCACGATCTCGGCTCACTGCAACCTCTGCCTCCCAGGTTCAAGTGATTCTCCTGCCTCAGCCGCCCAAGTAGTGGGGATTACTGGCATGTGCCACCACTCCAGGCTAATCTTGTATTTTTAGTAGAGGTAGGGTTTCTCCATGTTGGTCAGGCTGGTCTTGAACTCCTGACCTCAGGTGATCCACCTGCCTCGGCCTCCCAAAGTGCTGGGATTACAGGCATTAGCCACAGTGCCTGGCCCAAGTCTATCATTTTAAAAAATACACTTTATTTTTACAGGGGACAGTTTTAGGTTCACAGCAAAATTCAGAAGGTACAGAGATTTCCTGTATTCTCTTTGCCCACCCATCTCCCTGCCTCTTCCACAGAGCAGCCTCCTGAGTTACCAACATCTTCCACCAGAGCGGTGCATTTTTTACAACAGATGAACAATGAACCTACATTGACACATCATTATCATCCAGAGTCCATAGTGCCATGGCATTATTTTTTTAAGGTGGGGTCTCACTCTGTCGCCCAAGCTGGAGTGCATTGGTGAGATCATAGCTCATTGTAACCTGGAACTCCTGGGCTCAAGGGACCCTCCTGCCACATTCTTCTCAGTGGCTGGGACTATAGGTGGGTGCCATCCAACCTGGATAAACTGAAAATTTTTTTTGTAGAGACGTAGTCTCACTATGTTGCCCCGCTGGTCTCCAACTCCTGGGCTCAAGCTGTTCTCCCGCCTAGGCCTTCCAAAGTGCTGGGATTACAGTGTGAGCTGCTGCACGTGGCCTCACAGCATTCTAGCATTTTGACCATTTGTTCTAGGCCACTCTTCAGAGCTGCAGGGAATAAGCCCTCTTGCTTTTTCCCATGACTCTTCCTGGGTATTGAAGACAGCCACTCTGTCTTCAAAACCCATGTGCTCTTCTCCAGGAAGGCTATGTCCCCTGGATCCAAACCACTTAGAGAGGGCTTCTTTTGGCTGGGCACGGTGGCTAATGCCTGTAATCCCAGAACGTTGGGAGGCAGAGGTGGGTGGATCACCTGAGGTTAGGAGTTCGAGACCAGCCTGGCTAACATGGTGAAACCCCTGTCCCTACTAAAAATACAAAAAATCAGCTGGGTGCGGCAGCAGGCGCCTGTAATCTCAGTTACTCAGGAGGCTGAGGCAGGAGAATCACTTCAACTGGCGAGGCAGAGGTTGCAGTGGGCCGACATCATGCCATTGCACTCCAGCCTAGGCAAGAAGAGCAAAACTCTGAAAAGAAAGAAAGAGAGGGAGAGGAGAGAAGGGGAGAGAGAGAGAGAAAGAAAGAAAGGAAGAAGAAGGAAGGAAGGAAGGAAGGAGGGAAGGAAGGAAAGAAGGAAGGAAGGAAGGAAGGAAGGAAGGAAGGAAGGGAAGGAAGGAAGGAAGGAAGGAAGAAGGAAGGAAGGAAGGAAGGAAGGGAAAGAAAGAAGGCAGGGAGGAAGGGAGGAAAGAAGGAATAAGAGAAAGAAAGAAAAGAAAAGAAAGAAAGGGCTCCTTTAGGCTTTTATCCAACCAAGAACTCTCAGTGCCTGCAGGGTGTGTGCCTGGTCCGTGAGTCCCTCCTCGGTGACCCCAGCTGCTGGACAGGCTTCCTGGAGTCCTCTGGTACCAGCTCTGATGCTTCCTTTCCTTGTTGAAAATAATTGAGAATTGATTATACCACCTTAACAACGCGTCTGTTGGGAGGCCTGGGGTTCTCAGCTCTATCTCTGGATTTCTGTGAAAAAGTTCAATTAAGGTAAAAATATGAAGCAGAAATGTGAACACAGGAAGACAGAGTGGCTGTGTCATCTCCCTGGTCATGATGCAGCGCTAACGAAGGCAGAGAGGGGCTGCGGGGACTACTTTGGTCCTCGGAGTTTGTCAGGAGGATACAGCAGCGCTAGTTTTACTGAAGGATGTGGCAAAAGTTCTACAGACACAAAAACCTCACAAATTAAGACCTTCAACCAAGGACGGTTCCCATTAACACGAGACCAGGGGCTGTCTACCCGTTGCCCTCCGAACATGCTCCTCCGCGTCCTAATTCCTCTTTAATAACAGGTCATCACAGTTATTAAAATCTGCAGTTTTCTCATCAAAATGGGTGCTATTTCTGAATTGTACAACCACTGGCGAGAAAGAGTTGACTGTATTTAATGAGCAGATTTCATTCTACTTCTGGGCCCTGTCCGCTTTTTGCATCCTAGGTAGTATTTTCTGAGTGTTCCTAATAAGAATTCCAGTAAAATGAAATTTGATGATAAAAATAATAATTGTAAAGGCTATCAGGCCGAATCACAAAACTCACCACTGGCAGTGGCTCTGCTCTTGCTGGAGGCCCCACAGTAGCTGCCCAGCCTCATGGGGGCTGGTGGAAGGGGTCCAGGAGAGCCTGTTCATGTCCCTTCCTTCCCATTGCCGTGACCCAAATCACACCTTCATGCTGAGACTATTTATTACCCACGCTCCTTTCTGATGTCCCTGTTTCTGTTCTTCCCAATCCATCCTTCCCAGTGGTCAAACGGCTTTTCCCAAAGCATCGCTTTGGGGTGGTCACTCCCCTCCTCAAATGACCCTTCATTTACAGCAGGACTCCCTATTCTCTGGAAGAATTAATTCCATTTCAGGGAATGTTTTCCATGAAAAAAATTTAAAAAGCGTTTTGTAGACCAGACAAAATTTAAGGGTTTCTTTACTGCAGGACTTTTTGGAACCTTAAGATGCTAATAAGCTTTGCAAATTTTCAGGCGTGTCCCCCAAATTTCCTTGACTGGGATCCTGGCAGGAAACAGATGGCTCATGAAAGGAGTCATTGTGAGGACTGTCAACAGAAGCACGAACAGAGCAAGAAAACCAGCAAGGGGATGATGAGGCACCCGGGGGCGGGCAGCAGAGTGAAGCTGCTCCCACCTGAGGCTTCACCATGAGGGAGGAGAGCCCAGCCCGGCCCAGGTGTGAACTTGGGAGGGGCACTGCCTGCAACTCGCAAACAGCATGGCAGCAAGGAGCTCGGGAATAAATGCGCTGGCTTCTTCCTTTCTCAACCCCCGTACCGACTGAACGCAATCCAAAGCCAAAGGCCATGGGAGTCCAGATCATGGTTCGTAGAGGCCAGACTTCCAGGGAACAGAATGAGACAAGGAAGGATGGAGAACGGGACCCAGCCCCCATCCCCCAGGGAACATCTGTTCACATCTGGGAGGACAGTAGGTGTTTCAGATGACATGGACATAAAGCATCAAGTCTGCACTGCTAGTCTGGGTGTTTGAGGCCCCACATCATCAGTTTATACCAAGCTCCCGTCCTCGTCACCCCCGCCACACACACACTCCCGTGCCACAAACCCCTGCTTCTATGAGGCCCGGAAACACATTCTCAACTTTTAGGCCTCGGCCTCCGGCTCCCATCATTCCCATTGTCGAGGCACCCCAACATTTGCAATCCTCAGCTAACGTCCATCCCTTTTCTCTCCTCCTCCAGGGACATCGCTGGCCACCACAGATAAACGTTCACTTTGAATTGCAGGGACCACCGTTTCCAAATTAAAGTAGCCACTGTCTGAAAGACGCGAGCCTGTGGCTTCCCGGAGTGAGAGGCAGTCGCAGAGATGGTGTTGAGATGCCCTAAAGATCAGAAACACTGGAACATTTCAGCAGCTTTGGGGGACAGAGTATTTGCGATCAGGACTGTACTTTGGGATGCAGAAGCTTTGGCTAGGGGGCTTCTGCACTTTCAAGCCAGGTTACCAACTTTGCCGTTATCCTGATGTGTGCTGACATTGGGGGTGCACTTAATCGTGAGCGATGTCCCATCCCTTCTTTTTGTGAGGAGCTCTGTGATCCTTGAGTCCACAGATGCTTGTCCTTATCCCCCATGCCCTGAGCTGTCACAGTGGTCTGGGTACAGGTGGATGCCCAGAGGCGCGGGGAGTGGGCTTGAAGACGGGGGCAGCAGTGAGCTGCTGCATGGAAGAGAGATGCCGTTTCTGTTTAGGGAGCCCACCTTTCTGGAGACCAGGATGAAGCAGTGCCTTGGGTCTCCCCAGCCACCGGCCAGCAGACTCTGTACGCCGCAGGGACCACAACGGGTGGGGTCTGGGGAGCCGGGGACAGCAAGGCTTCCTGTGCAGCAGGAGGGGCCCTCGAGCCTCGACCGGAGTCCCTGGCTCTCTCTCCTTCCTTCTCTGTGGGTTCAGGAGCTGCAACAACAGCTCTCTTTCATAGCCAGCCGACTCCCCTACACCATTCTGTTCTCTTGTCTGAGTTTTAGTTTAACTCAGATGAAAGACCCTCTGGCCACACTACCTCCAGATTCAGCCAGAGGCTATCTGGAAAGAGTGTGACATTTCGTGGGAGCTGAGGATTCAGGAATGTTCATCTCTCTTTCCCTGTATCATGTCAACAAGCAGGCTTCGATATTCCAATATTTTCCACATCATCTGAGCGTGTCCAGACTATCTGATGGGTGGGTGTGCGAGCCTGTGTTGGGCTGGTGCACAGCCGCGGGACGATGCCTCCCTGAGGGGCTCTGCCACAGGCTTCAGATTTTAAGAGAATCAATGAAAGTAGTTGCATTCTTTACAGCATAGCATTTTTGGGGTTTTTCATTGTTTTGTTTTTGTTTTGAGACAGGGTCTGGCTCTGTCACCCAGGCTAGAGTGTAGTAGCACCATCTTGGCTCACTGTAACCTCCACCTCCAAGTTCAAGCGATTCTCCTGCCTCAGCCACCCAAGTAGCTGGGATTACAGGCACCCGCCACCACACCTGGCTGCTCTTTGTGTTTTTAGTAGAGACCAAGTTTCACCATGGCGGCCAGGCTGTTCTCCCAACTTCAAGTGATCCACCCACCTCAGCCTTCAAAAGTGCTGGGATTACAGGTATGAGCCACTGCACCCAGCCCTTTGCAGCATAAAGTTTTCACGAGACTTTAGGCCCTCAGTTCTTCCTGGCTGTTTAGGAGGTGCTTGTCTAAACTTCAGTCTTGATGTGTCTGAGGGAAGATGCTTCACTCTGCAGTGGATTAACTCTGTGTCTGTGTCTGTGTGTGTGTGGTAGTGTGTGAGTGTGTCATGTTGGTGCTGGGGATAGAGAGGGATAACCCAGAGTCATTGTTAGAGTCCTGGGGATTAATTTTCAACTTCATACTCGGAAATGAGTCCTTGCTGTTTTTCCATGTCCTGTTTATTGTTTCAAGATTTCTATGAGGTTACTTTATTATGTAGTTATTTACTTTATTATTAATTTTAATTTCATAGATTAATTGGATCCCATTTATCTATTTTGGCTTTTGTTGCCATTGCTTTTGGTGTTTTGGTGTCATGAAGTCTTTACTCATGCCTATGTCCTGAATGGTATTGTCTAGGTTCTCTTCTAGGTTTTTATGGTCTTAGGCCTTACATTTAAGTCTTAATCCATCTTGAGCTAATTTTGGTATACTGTGCAAGGAAAGGATCCGGTTTCAGCTTTCTGCATATGGCTAGCCAGTTTTCCTAACACCATTTATTAAATAGGTAATTCATATACCCAAAGGATTATAAATCATTCTACTGTAAAGACACATGCACACGTATGTTTATTGTGGCACTGTTCACAATAGCAAAGACTTGGAGCCAACCTGAATGCCCATCAATGATTGACTGGATAAAGAAACTGTGGCACATACTCACCATGGAATATTGTACAGCCATAAAAAAGGATGAGTTCATGTCCTTTGCAGGGACATGGATGAAGCTGGAAGCCATCATTCTCAGCAAACTAACACAAGAATGTTCTCACTCATAAGTGGGAGTTGAACAATGAGAACACAGGACACAGGGAGGGGAACATCACACACTGGAGCCTGTCAGGGGATGGGGGACAGGGGGAGGGACAGCATTAGGAGAAATACCTAATGTAGGTGACAGGTTGATGGGTGCAGCAAACCACCATGGCACATGTATACCTACGTCACAAACCTGCACGTTCTGCACATGTACCCCAGAACTTAAAGTCTAATTTAAAAAACTCTTAAAAAATGGCATATAAAACAAAAACAACAACAACGAAAATTTTCAGTAGCTTTCAGGAGGTCAGTGGTTTTCAGTCGCATGAATGATGGTCTAGTCATGAGAATCTGGGATTTGAGTGCAGTGGTCATCCAAGTAGTGTACATTGTACATTGTACCCAGGATGTGGGTTTTCTCCCTCACCTCCTTCCCTTCCTCCTCCTTCTGAGACTCCAAAGTCCATTATTTCACTCCGTCTGCCTCTGCGTACCCATAGCTTAGCTCCCACTTACAGGGGAGAACGTGCGGCGTTTGGTTTTCCATTGGGTTACTCCACTTAGAATAATGGCCTCCAGCTCCATCCAATTTGCTGCGAACGACCTAATTTCATCCCTGTTTGAGGCTGAGTGGTACGTGAGGTGTATATATACCACATTTGCCTTATGCGCTCACTGACGGATGGGCACTCAGGTCGGTTCCACATCTTTGCAATTATTCCATAATAAACATAGGCGTGCAGATGGCTTTTTATGTAATGAGTTTATTTCCTTTGGGTGAATATCCAGTAATGGGAACCCTGGATTAAATGGTAGATCTACTTTGGGTTGTTTAAGAGATCTCCGTGTTGTTTTCCCCAGAGCCTGTACTGACTTCCATTCCCACCAGCAGCATATAAGCATTTATTTTTTCACCACCTCCACGCCAACGTCTATTGCTTTTTGAATTTTCAATAACGGCCACTCTCAGGAGTAAAGTGATATCTCCTGGCTTTAACGTTCCCCAGTAGGAGCAATGCTTCCTCCTCCCACCCCTGCCGCAGGCTGGGCCCAGCACCTTCTTTCCTTCCTTGGTTGCAGCGCAGGGAGCCCTGGACGCTAGGTGCGTGGTGAGCTCTTCCTTCCAGCCTGGGCACGAGAGGAGCCATTTCTCTGGGGGCGGTGCTTCCCCAGCCCATCCCTGCCCACTCCTGTCCCTCTCCCCAGAAGTGGATGTGTCTCCTCCTCCTTCCCCTCCTCGCCCTCAGGGCAAACCCAGTTTCCCCAGCAGTGGGCCTGACACTGTACCTCCTTGTCTTGACCTGCCATTTTCACATTGCAGCACTTGATCCCCGAGGAAAAACTTATGAACCCTGGGACCAGGTGAAGGACTCCAGAAGCTTTCTGTTAGCTATGTCTCAGTCTCCGATTTATTTTTCACTCACTCAGCCATGCCATGGTAACATGCAAGATGGGCAGGAGAGCAGCGAGGAGGCTATTTCTGTCACCTATTCCCAGTCCTATTTCTTTTCATTTAACACATGTTTTGAGTGTCGGCCATTTACAAGGTTCTGAGCTTAGAACTCCAGGGAACCCCCAAATGCTTGAGTTCCTGCTCTCAAGGGGTTTGACATTTAGAGGGGCTAACAAAACAAACATTACCCCGAGGCAAGGCAGACCAGGGTTAGTGCCCCAGAACGGCCTCATGGGTCCAAGGAGAGACTCAGCAACCCTTTCCTAGAAGGGTTCAACTGGCGGGGCCCAGGAACTGCACATTTGAGTGTGTTCTTTCATTCGTGACCTCCAGCTCCCAAGTTGGTGCCTACTTGTTGCATCCAAGAAAATGGGTTGGACACCTGTCTGTCTGGGGACCCCGGAGGAAAGTTCTGGATCTGAGAGGGAGCCTCGAGCCTTCTCCCTTAAAGCTGATCTGCCAGGACTATTTCACTCTATACAAAAAGTGACATAGAGTTCCTTCCGAATTTGTTTTTCTGGAAAACGCCACTGGAAACACAGAAACTCTTTTGATAACGAGAGATGAACAAGTTAAGAAACAGCTTCTCTCTTCTTCCTTCTTTCTTGTTGGCGGTAACTTCTCTCTCTGCTCCACAAGTGCAGTTATGCAGGTGAGATCGCATGTCAGTTTTTTCTATAGAGATGCTGTTTCTCACATCCTCCCTCTGGCCTCTCTTGAATTTGACAAAGAATCTCAGCGAAGCCAGTTACTGGATGTGGGACAGGCTGGGAGACGGCCCTTCCCTCGCACATTCCCCAGCGCCCCATCCCCGAGGCTGGAGAGGTTTGCCTCGCAGCTCCTCCCCGCCCCGCCACATTCAGCCTCCAGATCACAAAAGCACACACTGTCGTCCCCTCACTGATTGGCATGGCCTGATAGGCACCTCTCACAGTGGGCACTTTGTGCTTCTCCCTCCAGACAATTGGCAGGAGAGTCAATAGCCACACAGTCTCCTGGGATCCGTCCCTTGGTTCCTGCCAGCCATGCTGGCGCCTTTCCACCCAGTGCTGCCAAGGGTTCCTCCTTCCAGGGCAAGGTCAGCACCACCCCTGGGTGGGGAGAGGCGAGAGGAAGGATTCCAGGGCCAAGGCGTTGACAAAAGGGGTAGAAAGAGATGGGCCGATGCCCCAAAGTCTGTGACTGGAAAGCAAAGAAGGGAGAGGAAGACCACCGCTGTGCAAAGGGGCTTTGGTTTATTTCACTGTGATGATTTGGTGAAGAACTATTGACCGGAGGGAGACGACACCCTCCTGTGAAATAGGTAGTAACCAGGTGTGAAGGGGGCCCGTGTGAAGGTGCTGATGTCTCAGCGTGCCCGCTGCCCTCCTTTTCAGCGTTCCTGCTGCTGAGATATTCTGTGCTGCTTCCCAAACTCCTCACCCACCTGCACCTGCCCACATGCTGCGGAAAGTGCTGGATGGCAGAGACTCTCACATTATGTAAGAACATGTATTATTGGACATTCTTGCTAC